GAGCCTTGTGCTCCCGATGATAATCATCGACGAGGGTCTGAAGAGCGGTTATCTCATCCCGAGACCGATCGACAATACCACGAGCTACCCTTAGCTCGTCACGAAGAGATGTCAGAGCTCTCTCGTTCTCAAGCTGAGCAAAGGCAAACTCAGCTCGATGCTTTGAGACAGTGTCCGCCATTTGGAGACGCCTGTCCCGCTCATGTTCGAGATCGCCGCGTAACCCTTGTGTTACGCTATCAAAGAAGCTCTCGGGAACACACGGATCCCGACGATCGTGTGGAGAGCGTCTTTCCTCCTCCTCCACCTCCATTAGAGGACTCTCGCGGTGGCCAGCGCTATCTGGTTGAGCAGATGTTGAACCACCGCGACGTGAACGGACGTCGGACGAGTTATCTCGTCCGGTGGCGCGGCTATCCCCCGTCCTGGGATACTTGGAGCCCCGCTCCCAACTGATGGTTGACGTACTGGAACTGGTTGAGCAGTGCGATGCGGCACATCCTGTGCCGCAGAAGGACCGCCGGAGAAAGCCTTTCCGGCACGGTCGTAAAGGAATTTCAGGTTGTCAAGCCCTTCGTACATCTCACTAGAGATACGTACGCGCCACCACGGGCTAGTAAGGAGGTAAACCTCCTTAGGTACTCGTGCAGAGTTGTTCACACAACATGGGCACGAGTGTCCCCAAGAGAGGCAGGGTCATCCTTTCTCCCTTGACAGATGATGCAGCTTATAGCGTGCACCTGTCGGGGTTCGCTTTTCAAACTTATCACGAGCTTTGATAAGTTTGTCGTTCCAAACGTCACGACCTACATCCTCAAGGTTATGGATGTATGTGTTCCACGCTTGAAGCAGGGAGGGACCATCACGTTTGTGATTCCCACTGTATCATCGATGCTTAAAGAAAGCATCGATGAAGAACTCATGCATAGCGCGATAGTTTTTCGCACTGGGGTCAAGGTGATGGATCCTTGATGAATCGAACAACCGTGTTCGATAACGATCACTTGTCGTCGACACAAGCGATCCATGACTGACTTAGGAGGCAGCCATGCTTTCTTTTCGGAGCGAGACGAAACACGCTGCGGTCCCGCTCTTCCTGGGACGTGCCGACAGAAGTACTGGCACCTCGTTGCTAAGTGGTGTCAATAGGAGAACCGACATCACTGTGAGCGCCCGAGTCTTGCGATCTCGAGCGCCTTCGCTTCGGCGATGGTTCATCTGATTCGTCAGACGAACCAAAGATGCTACGACGTGTAGTATCATCCATGCCACGTTTGGCAGGCGGCTTGGATTCAATTGCCGTCGATACGGATCCGTCTTCCGTATCAGGAGAGTATGAGATACCGAGTTCATACTCTGTGAAGACATGAGTGTCTTCATGACGAGCGCCTGCATCACCAAGTGACACAGGCTGAGTCGCTGCAGCAACCGATGAGACATCAGTTGCTGTGGTTTCTGCTTCGGCGTCAGCACAGAGACGTGCGGACGCGCTCTCGGCGGCCTTGCTCGCGCATCGCATGGGCTTGTTAACCATGCGATGAATTGTTGGAAAGTGGACTCGGACCAACAAGTGCAAGCCCTGTCCCAAATGATTTGGGACGAGTATCCATTTAGTCAGTCAGTCACCAAAGTGACTGAAGGTTAAGGGGGGGGTGATGTAACGGGGCGAATCGTTACATAACAATTTATAAGAAATTGTTCTTAGAATATAACTATAAGAGTTATATTCTCAGAATATTGTCACGAGGACAATATTCTGCAGCACTTACGAGTAGTTCCTAATTGGTTGATATATGCCATTATATCAACCAACGAAGACGCGCCACGATAGACGCACGCAATGAATGGTGAGCAGATGATTGATTTACACATTTGTATTTAGACATAGTTAGATGAAGATAAATAGTGGTTTAGTAACAGACATCAACTATTATAAATACAGTTCTGCTTTTTACTTTAAGCAAGTACTCGCTTCTTCTTACCGTCTTCCCCTGCACGTACCAGTGTACGTGAAGTTACGAGGCACCGTCTTATTCTGTCGTCAGAATAAGTAGCTTGTACTGTCACCAGTACAAGCTTCAGGTTGCCCCGTTACACCTGGTAGCACTTCGTAGTCCGTCCAAGGACCACGTTCACATCTAACATGAATATGTTGGATGATGAAGATGACCAAAGCTTTCACGCTACGCGTGACGGCTACTCCCATTTGAGCGATGTCGAATGGGATGCGGTTGAACGGATGGGTCCAACCATGGGCATCCATGCTGTTAGCGTCATGCTAGAGGCTCTCAATAGAGATGCCCAACATGCTACTATCGCCAAGTTCATTCAAAATGAACTTGACGCTGAACGCGAGAAAGTAGCCTTGCTTCACCAACAAGGTTCTCAACAAGCAGATTTGTTGAGAGAACAGGGTGCTCAACAATTTGAACTGTTGAGACAGCAGCAGGCTGCTGCTGGCGGGTCGATGCACTCGCGTCGACCCGAGATTGACATCTCTAAGTGTAGGGGAGTCGAAGAGGACTCCCCTTGAGATGGTTTGTCGAATTAGACGACGCCATAAGGGCGCGTCGCATCGACGACTGGGATGTGCAAGTTGCATTTGCCCAATCAAATCTGGCAGGACGTGCCAAGACTTGGGCACTGGGGCTCGAGTTGCACGACCCATATGCGTTTGGGTCGTTGGAAGTCTTCAAGTCGCGGCTCAGACAAACGTTTGAACCGCCTAGAGCTGAGTTCAAAGCTCGAACCGAACTCTTGAAGCTCAAACAGGGTAAGCGTGATGTGCACGCTTACGCACAACATATACGACATCTCACGAGTTGTATAAATTCCAACCCGGTGGATGAACACACGTTGATTTCGGTGTCCATGCAGGGTCTAGCGGATGGTTCCGTCAAGACTCACCTGTTCCGACTTGAACTAGATTCACTAGAACAAGCCATTTCCATTGCGGAACAGGAAGACTTCAGTCTGAGACAGGCTCGCGCCAGCTCGACATCATATCGTCCACCGAGACGATATGACAGCGGAAGTCCAGAGCCGATGGAACTCTGTCATGTAGAGAGCGAGAATGTTCGCTCTACAGACTACAAGAAGTTGCAGAAATGCAACAGATGTCAAAAGACAGGACACTACGCTTACGAGTGTAGTGCTCCTCGTCCAGTGTCTCGCAGCACTGGGCGTAATGACCGTCCACCCATGAGAAAGGGGCAGGGACGCGGGTCCGCTGTTGGTGCAAAGACGCAACAACGGGATGGACCGTCAAAAAACAGACAGGATCAGTAGGTGCGGAGCACCCTACTGGTCCAGCAACGTCAAGAGAATTTGTAGGCCTCTTGATGAAGGTTGCTCCCAACACACAAACATTGTGCGTTGCTGCTATAGGTAATGAGATCTCACTCATTACCTTGAAACTCGAAGTGACATTAAGTTGTCCCTTCGAGCTCTAGCCGATTGTGGGGCGTCCAACAATTTTGTGCGACGTCAATCGCTAGAAGATGGTCACTTTAAGTTCAGTGAATGTGAAACACCTCCTACGAAGATGACGGTACGTCTTGCGACAGGCGCATCCGTAACCATCATGAAGCGTATAGTGAAGATTCACTATACACTAGAATATACCCAATATGACGATGACTTTATTGTAACGGGGCACCCTGAAGCTTGTACTGGTGACAGTACAAGCTACTTATTCTGATGACAGAATAAGACGGTGCCTCGTAACTTCACGTACACTGGTACGTGCAGGGGAAGACGGTAAGAAGAAGCGAGTACTTGCTTAAAGTAAAAAGCAGAACTGTATTTATAATAGTTGATGTCTGTTAATAAACCACTGTTATTCCTCATCTAACTATGTCTAAATACAAATGTGTAAATCAATCATCTGCTCACCACTCATTGCGTGCGTCTATCGTGGCGCGTCTTCGTTGGTTGATATAATGGCATATATCAACCAATTAGGAACTACTCGTAAGTGCTGCAGAATATTGTCCTCGTGACAATATTCTGAGAATATAACTCTTATAGTTATATTCTAAGAACAATTTCTTATAAATTGTTATGTAACGATTCGCCCCGTTACATTTATCGTATTGGATTTGGATGACAAATTTGATGTCATCCTTGGAATACCGTGGCTCAGAAGGTACGAACCACGGGTAAACTGGCAACATCGAACAGTAACGATGCGTGTCGCTTGTTCATCAGATGGCCGTCTGATAAACGTTTTGGAGCGTCCACAAGCGTGTGGATGTACTACGAGTGAGTGCAATGAAATAAGTTCCCCGAAACCCGCGGATATAGGTCCCCGGGAAGCCGAAGGAATAAGTCCTTCGAGGCCTGTGGGAGTAAGTCCCCATGAAATGACAGAGGCATTGAATGTCATAGTCAATAACGGATCAAGCGTAGGCGCTTATACACTTGATCTGATTGCGCCTCCGAAGTTGACTTCGGAGATCACTCAGTTGCCAACGCTCAAACATAAAAGGTTCTTGCGTGATCTGCGTAGTGGCAAAGTCAAGCAGATCTGCGTACTCGTCGCTGACGACGAGTGTGTAGCCGGCATAAGGTCAGCAACAGTGTTCAGTGAGAACGAGAGAGTTCTCAGTAGTTCATCTATGGACGAGAGTGTCCTATATGAAAAGACACGAGTTGAGCGATATGACTCCTAATCGTGGGAATCGTTCAAGACAAATCCTCTCTATGAAGATTTGGTTGAATTCAAGGATGTATTCCCTGAAACTGTTCCGTGCGAATTACCGAAGGATAAAGGTATTCGACACGAGGTCGAGCTTAAACCAGGCTCGAAGTACTGTGTCATGAAGCAGTGGCCACTGCCTCGTGAACAAGTACTTGCGATCGACAAGTTCTTTGCCGATCGTTTAGCTGCGGGCCATGTGAGGGAATCAACTTCCCCACATAGCTCTCCGACCTTTTGTGTGCGAAAAGCAACAGGAGGGTGGCGGATAGTGCATGCATTTAACAAGTTGAATGCTGCAACGGTACCGGCTCAGACGCCGATACCGAGGAAGGACGTAATCATTGATGGTATGTCATAGAGTACCATCTTTTCGTCCATGGATTTGATGGATGGCTTCTATTAAATCCTTATGCTAGAACGAGATATACCCTATACCGCAATTAGCACGCCTAGCGGCATGCTCTGGGAATGGCTAGTAATTCCACAAGGGATTAGTAATGCTCCTGCCACGTTCAACAGACGTGTATCACATCTGTTGAGACCAGTACGAGAATTCGCGCCGAGTTATTTCGATGACGTATTTATCAATAGTCGAACTATGGATGGAAAGTCAGACGTTGAGGTTCACAGAAACCACGTCCGACAGGTTCTTACAATCATGCGAAAGCATCAGCTGTATGCAAACCTCAAGAAGTGTATATTTGCAGCAAGCGAAATACCACTTCTCGGGTGCATCGTTGGCAAGACCGGTGTACGTCCTGATCCCTAAAAGATCAAGGCGATCACCGATTGACCTGTGCCAGTTGTTGTCAAAGGTCTTCGGAAATTCCTTGGGCTGGCGGCGTATTTGTATAAGTATTCACGCAATTACGCCGAGATGACTGTGCACCTCTCTCGTTTGTTGAAAATGAACGAGAGGTGGTTATGGAAAGCTGAATGTCAGCACCCCTTTGAGGGTATCAAGCAGAGCTTGATACAATCCCCAGTCCTAGCAATAGCCGATCAGGACAGGCCATTTCATGTGGTCTGTGATGCCAGCGATTTTGCAATCGGCTGTGCATTAATGCAGTACGATCTTGAAGGCGTTAAACGCGTCGTCTGCTATCAGTCGCGCCAGCTGCAACCAGCTGAGCGGAACTATCCAGTGCATGACAAGGAACTCCTTGCCATGAAGTATGCACTCGCGAAGTTCAGAGTCTATCTATTAGTAGATAGACCCTTCATTATTTACACTGACCATGCGTCGTTACGCACGGCAGTGAACAGCCCGCACCTTTCACAACGAATGGCGCGGTGGTTGTCATTCTTTGCAGAATACAACTTTACGGTTGAGTACAAACCAGGAAGACTTAATGTCGTCGCTGATGCACTCTCACGTCGTCCCGACTTTGAACCAGTCGTGAGACCCAACAGTGATACAGCCACTGTTGCGGTTGTGACGTCCTCAGTCCCATCTACAACGTTGTATGATGGTGCGAGGCGGGCGTATGTCCACGATGATGAGATTGTGAAGCTGTTGACACATCTCTCAAAGCCATCTCGAGAATCGCTGAAACGGTTGTCGTCTGCGTATCGATCTGCATCAGATCGATGCACTACTCGCAACGGTTTACTGTATTATACAGCCGTTACTGGTGACACACCACGTGTTGTCATTCCAGATGATACTGATCTGAGTTTGCAGATCATGTTCGAGTATCACGATGCTCTTATAGGAGGACATCGTGGCCGGGAGAAAACATATCTCACGGTGAGTCGAGACTTTTACTGGCCCCGCCAGTATCGGTTTGTGCGAAAGTATGTTCGCGCATGCGAAGTCTGTCAACGAGTGAAGTCAAGTCCTTCACTGCGTGCACCTTTACAGCCTCTACCAGTTCCGGCTGAGTGCTGGGAATCCATCTCAATGGATTTCGTCTTCGGGTTACCCAAAGACGCACGCGGGAATACGGGTATTCTCGTATTTGTTGACAGATTCAGCAAAATGGTACACCTTGTGGCTGTACCAGAGACAATCACGGCAAGTGGCTGTGCTTGTGTCTTTATTGACACCATCTCCCGACTTCATGAGTTGCCCCGTGAACTCGTATTAGACAGAGATCCGCGCTTCACTGCTGATTTCTGGCTTTCCGTGTTCAAATCACTCGGGACGCGCTTGAAGATGTCGACATCTGATCATCCAGAGTCAGATGGTCAGACGGAACGTGCCAATCGTGTCCTTGAAGAGATACTTCGAGGATACGTACACTCCTTTAAGAGTTGGAGTGAGTTCTCGCCAATGGTCGAGTTTGCCATTAACAACTCGGTGCATGCGTCCACGACACATACACCGTTTTACGTGAATGGCTTGCGCCATCCGCGTGTACCCACCTTACTAGAGTGTAACTCTGGTTTAAGGGGGGGAGGGACTCGCGCGAGCAAAAACCGATTTGGTTCACGCTCATCACGCTCTGAAAAAGAGGTCATTGCGTTTGATGCCGATATCGATAACATCGATATCGAAGAAGATGCTGCCAGTGAGAGCGAGGAAGCCCTCACTGAAGAAAAGATTGATGTTGCTGCAGTGCGCTCACAGCGCACTGAAGCTAATGAGTCATCAGATAAATTCATACTGGCTCGTGAAACGGTAGTCCGTTTTGTGCAAGACTCCATCGCCGAAGCGGTGGATAGGCAAAAGCAAAACGCTGACAAGAATGGAAGTGCAAACACTCTTTTATTTGATAAAGGTGACTTAGTCCTACTGTCTACGGTTAACCTACCAAAGCATGTAGTGACTAACTTGGGTAGTAGTAAACTTCTACCCAAGTACATCGGCCCATTTCGTGTATTGCACCGCCTAGGCAATGCATACACGATCAAGTTTCCACGTAAGATGCGAACGCATCCCACGTTTTACGTTGGTCGGCTTAAGCCGTACCATCAGTACGCTGCTTCTTCCGATGAAGAATGCCCTTGCGCTCAAGCATCTCGCAGAGAGCCTTGTGCTCCCGATGATAATCATCGACGAGGGTCTGAAGAGCGGTTATCTCATCCCGAGACCGATCGACAATACCACGAGCTACCCTTAGCTCGTCACGAAGAGATGTCAGAGCTCTCTCGTTCTCAAGCTGAGCAAAGGCAAACTCAGCTCGATGCTTCGAGACAGTGTCCGCCATTTGGAGACGCCTGTCCCGCTCATGTTCGAGATCGCCGCGTAACCCTTGTGTTACGCTATCAAAGAAGCTCTCGGGAACACACGGATCCCGACGATCGTGTGGAGAGCGTCTTTCCTCCTCCTCCACCTCCATTAGAGGACTCTCGCGGTGGCCAGCGCTATCTGGTTGAGCAGATGTTGAACCACCGCGACGTGAACGGACGTCGGACGAGTTATCTCGTCCGGTGGCGCGGCTATCCCCCGTCCTGGGATACTTGGAGCCCCGCTCCCAACTGATGGTTGACGTACTGGAACTGGTTGAGCAGTGCGATGCGGCACATCCTGTGCCGCAGAAGGACCGCCGGAGAAAGCCTTTCCGGCACGGTCGTAAAGGAATTTCAGGTTGTCAAGCCCTTCGTACATCTCACTAGAGATACGTACGCGCCACCACGGGCTAGTAAGGAGGTAAACCTCCTTAGGTACTCGTGCAGAGTTGTTCACACAACATGGGCACGAGTGTCCCCAAGAGAGGCAGGGTCATCCTTTCTCCCTTGACAGATGATGCAGCTTATAGCGTGCACCTGTCGGGGTTCGCTTTTCAAACTTATCACGAGCTTTGATAAGTTTGTCGTTCCAAACGTCACGACCTACATCCTCAAGGTTATGGATGTATGTGTTCCACGCTTGAAGCAGGGAGGGACCATCACGTTTGTGATTCCCACTGTATCATCGATGCTTAAAGAAAGCATCGATGAAGAACTCATGCATAGCGCGATAGTTTTTCGCACTGGGGTCAAGGTGATGGATCCTTGATGAATCGAACAACCGTGTTCGATAACGATCACTTGTCGTCGACACAAGCGATCCATGACTGACTTAGGAGGCAGCCATGCTTTCTTTTCGGAGCGAGACGAAACACGCTGCGGTCCCGCTCTTCCTGGGACGTGCCGACAGAAGTACTGGCACCTCGTTGCTAAGTGGTGTCAATAGGAGAACCGACATCACTGTGAGCGCCCGAGTCTTGCGATCTCGAGCGCCTTCGCTTCGGCGATGGTTCATCTGATTCGTCAGACGAACCAAAGATGCTACGACGTGTAGTATCATCCATGCCACGTTTGGCAGGCGGCTTGGATTCAATTGCCGTCGATACGGATCCGTCTTCCGTATCAGGAGAGTATGAGATACCGAGCTCATACTCTGTGAAGACATGAGTGTCTTCATGACGAGCGCCTGCATCACCAAGTGACACAGGCTGAGTCGCTGCAGCAACCGATGAGACATCAGTTGCTGTGGTTTCTGCTTCGGCGTCAGCACAGAGACGTGCGGACGCGCTCTCGGCGGCCTTGCTCGCGCATCGCATGGGCTTGTTAACCATGCGATGAATTGTTGGAAAGTGGACTCGGACCAACAAGTGCAAGCCCTGTCCCAAATGATTTGGGACGAGTATCCATTTATTCAGTCAGTCACCAAAGTGACTGAAGGTTAAGGGGGGGTGATGTAACGGGGCGAATCGTTACATAACAATTTATAAGAAATTGTTCTTAGAATATAACTATAAGAGTTATATTCTCAGAATATTGTCACGAGGACAATATTCTGCAGCACTTACGAGTAGTTCCTAATTGGTTGATATATGCCATTATATCAACCAACGAAGACGCGCCACGATAGACGCACGCAATGAATGGTGAGCAGATGATTGATTTACACATTTGTATTTAGACATAGTTAGATGAAGATAAATAGTGATTTATCAACAGACATTAACTATTATAAATACAGTTCTGCTTTTTACTTTAAGCAAGTACTCGCTTCTTCTTACCGTCTTCCTCTGCACGTACAAGTGTACGTGAAGTTACGAGGCTCCGCCTTATTCTGTCATCAGAATAAGTAGCTTGTACTGTCACCAGTACAAGCTTCAGGGTGCCCGTTACAGTCTAGCTATGATAGAGACGTTGACATTGTTTCTTTACTAATTAAGTTTGAACTATTTGTAAGATCTGCTACAGTGACGGCGATGACTCCCTCACTGATGAAAAAAAAACTGCTACAGTGACGGCGATGACTCCCTCACTGATGAAAAAAAAACTTTCCTTCAGCAGTGCGCACTGCTGTTAACAAGCATGAGTCAGCCGAGAATTTCTTGCTGACTCGCGAAGCGGTTGTCCGATTTGTTCAAGACTTTATTGCAGACTCAATAGACAGGCAGAAAAGAAACGCAGACAAACATGGAAGAGCAATTGTTCTTCTATCTTTTAAAAAGGAGACTCAATTTTACTGTCTAGAGTAAATTTACTGGAACATGCAGTGACAAACGTGAGCAGCAGTAAATTACTGACCAAGTACATCGGTCAATTTCGTGTGTTGCGCCGTATGAACAACGCACACTCGATTGAACTGCCGCGTAGGATGCGTACGCATCCTACGTTTTACGCTGGTCGTCTCTCCCGTACTATCAGAACGAGCCCGTTTCGAGATGCGAAGAACACCTCCACGGTCGAGAGCCGAGACCACCCTCGAGAAGTCCCGTTTCAACGAGCCAGTCTGGTCGACTAGCGAAGCGACCTGCTCACCCAGCAAAGCGATGTCCTGACGAGACGCAGTCAGCTTGTCACGAATAGAACTAGTCAAGCATTCGATTCGCAAGTTGCGCGAACGCAAACGCGACACAATAATTAAAACGATCGTGCGCTTAGTAATTGTGATTATCCTTTACAAGGTCATGGAGCTCATAACGCCGAGTCCTTTCATGAGCCAGGTCATCGTGTAACTGATCCGTTACACAGTTCAGTTCCTAAACATCAAGCTGATCCGACCCTCGAGTCGGATCAGGTGTTCCTGCCACCACCACATCCTTTCGTGGATTCTCGCGGTGGTCAACACTTTCTAGTGGAGCGTACTTTGAACCACCGCAATGTGAATGGCATCCGGACGATTTACCTCGTCCGCTGACGTGGCTATCCACCTGCCTGGGACAGATGAGATCCTCGTGCCCAGCTTATTGTTGACGTTCTGGGTCCCGTCGAGCAATATGACGAGACCCACCCGCTGCATTCAAAGAAGGGCCGTCGAAAACGACCTCTCCGAACGCGAGTACAGAGATTGCAACGTGTTGGTCCCTTCGACCATCCAGAAAAGATGCACGCCCTCCAGTAGGAATCACCAGGGAGGTAGACCTCCCTAGGGGCACAATTCGAGTTATCCAAGCAACTTGGATGCGAATCACCCCACGAAAGACAGGGTAATCCTGCCTCTCTTGACCGTCGGTGCAACTTGTATCGTACACCGACTGGGTTGCGCTTCTTAAACCTGATGCGAGCTGCATCAAGTTTACCGAGGAAGGCCTCACGGCCAGTGCACTCGATGTTATGGATGAGGGCGTTCCATCCTTGCACCAAGGCTTTACCGGCTCGATTACGGTATACGTTGTACCACCAATGTTTAAAAAACGCATTTGTGAAGAACTCTTTCTCGGCACGAGTAGTTTTCGTGCTGGAATTAAAAGGACAGATCATCCTACAGATACACACTCAGATTCGATCCCGCTCGGTGGTCATACCGGCCACTCGATCAAACGACTTGTATGATGGCATACAAGGAGACTCCACTTGAGAAACACGGCGTAGGACATTGCGGTCTCTGGCCTCTTGTGCGGTGTCATTATGAGTACAGACACCAGTAGAAGCTTGGTCTCCTAAGTTTCTTCTCTAGTGGGGACGCACATGTGCGTCACCGCCATCACCACGCGTCCTAGTTTCGTCCAGACTTGCAAGGGACGAGGATTCATCAGAAGAATCGCTTTTGTGAAGGTCTCGGACATGATAGCCACACTTTTCCTATAACCAGTCAACCTAGCTCTGGCAGTGTCCGCCCCGGGTTATCTGGAGGCAGGAGGCTCCGCCTTCGAGTCGGGTGTATGATCCGACTCGCCAGAATAGATGATCCCTATTTCAGGCTCATCCGCTTTGTAAGTCGTAGCATCCAATGCAGACGCAGAGTTTGTGTTTTTCACACGTGGTGACTCATCACGTGGACTAGTCACAACAGGCACTGTCTGTTGCTCACTTGCAACAGCAGGTGAACAATCACCTGCTGCTGAGGCTTGAGAAGTGCTCTCTTTGGCTGCACGCATGCGTGCAACCGCCTTCTTGGCTGCTTCGGTATCGCACCGCATGGGCTATGAAAGCATTCGATAAATTGGCAAATAAGTTGGTATTGACCAGCAAGTGCTCCTCTTTCCCAGAGTGATCAAACGGTGATCGCCCTGTCCCCAATGAATAAATTTCAATCACCGGGGTGTGATGGTTGAGGGAGTGTGATGGTTAAAGGGTAGCCCGTTAAAGGACATTGACACTAAACAGTGTCAATAGGAAGATTGTCTAGCGTTACAATCTTCTGCCAATACTACCCGAGGTAGGCAATATTGAAGGAACAGTATCCATTGGAATAACATGCACGTGCTGTTCGAAGGTAAGTTGATAAAGACGTATCAACCAAGATTGCCACCAATCGCTGCTAGACGCGCGAAATGGGTGGTGAGCAGGTTGTCGTCATACAGCAATGTAGACTAATGTAGTTGGATAGAGACTGAAGTTCCATTGATGGCTTAACTATATTAAATACAGTTCTCTTTTTACCTTTACTCAAACTTGTGGTTAAAGTAGATTTATCTTCCTCTGCACGTACAAGTGGAGGTGAAGTTTCGTGGCACCCAAGCAAAGGGTGCCCTGTTACACCACCTCTGTAATCTCGAGTCGTAGCAGGCTGACCAGTATAACTAATAAGTCAATACAGCCGTCTCTAGAGTACGGGACTCACCAATAAAAGTGTACGACATAATTGCCAGCGATAGTCGTGAGATGCATTTAAGTCCCCCACGATGGTCTATGCATTCCAGCTCCCGGTCCTCTGGTTGAAACCGGTTGCAGGACGCGGCAAGTATGCTACATTTTGTGAACACGTGTAACGAATGTTGCTGTACTCATGTTATTTTTATAGTTACCAGCATATCGACAAGTATTTCATGACAATCGGGCTGTTTGTATTGCTTGGCTTGATTGCATTCTCAGGCTGTCAACGTTAGACTATCGTGCCATGAGGCTGGATTAAGTGAACTTATCAAGCTTGTCAACCTCAGACAATTGGATCACGAGGCTGACTCGACTTTTGCCGTTTTATAAGAGAAAATGTCCGTATCACTCCGCAGTATTGAACTCGGGTCCACAAGCTCCAGTGTCAGCACTTTTTTCTCATAATCACCCGAGACGGGAACAGCTTTTACGGCGGCACGAAACTGAAGGAGTAGCCGTGGGAAGGAATTGGAGAATCGTAGATTCCCGCTGATTTCTGATTGAATACCGAGAAACTCAGCGGTAAAGAGGTTCGATAGCAGAGGAGACAACTTGTAGTCAGAGGGGAAATTGGAAAGTATATTAGTCGTTAGAAAACTTGCACATGCATCCAGACAATCATCATAGAAGCACTACGATGGTCTCGCCTGGGTCGTTTCCCTCTTCATATAACCGACTGCTGAGGTTTCACTTTCCATGTCCGTTTCGAAACGATTATGATCAAACGACTTGATGGCGTTTGAGCGTGCACAAAGTGTACATCGTCAACACTCCTCCTCGACTAGAAGTCTCCAACGTTTGTCTTCGCCACGAGAAACTGAAACTTGTTGGTCAAAACTGCCTTCGTCAGAAAATCGGCGAGCAGTGACTTGGTTTCAGTATACTCTAGCTGAATCACCTTGGCCTTGACTTGATCGCATACAAATGATAGCGAATATCAATGTGCTTCGCTCGACTTTAATATCCTTCGTTTTTTTGCAATAGCAATTGCGCTCTGGTTGTCTTCATACACAACGACTGGAGCGTCAATCTTGACCTTCATCTCCATCAATATACTCTTGGTCCACAAAACGTTTGAATGCACAACGAAAGTGCCACATATTCAGCTTCAGCAGTAATTAGTGAGACGCTGCTTTGAAGCTTCGACTTGAAAATGACTGGAGATTCATTTATCAATCACCATGACTTCAGATGTCGAACGTCGATTATCTTTGTCGCTGCCCCAATCTGCATCGCTAAAAGTACTCAACTTGAGATCACCTGGCTTGCTACGCTAGCAAATTCCGTGCGCTGCAGTCGATTTGAGGTAGCGCAGCACACGAATGGCTGCGTTCAAGTGTTCTTCACTTGGTTTCTTCAAGTGTCGACTCAGCCGAACCACTGCTAATGAAATATCGGGCCTTGTCCTGTCGCCACGTATAGAAGAGATCCGACCAGAGATCGATTGGGTCGATTATCCATCTCAGGGTCTTTTACCTCGCACTTGAGCATGACTTGACCTTCCACACTTGGGTTGTTGACCGTTTTCGCTTCAACTTGATGAAATTTGATGACCATTCGGTCAATGCATGCACCTTGACTGATCTTGAGCTTTTTTGATTGCTGTGCATAATCCAACTCAATGCCGAGAATAAATCTCACGCTGCCAAGCGTCTTTAACTTGAAATGACTTGCAAGTTCGTCGGTAACTTTGTCAATTAAAAGTGCAGAAGAACCTTAAAGCAGCATATCGTCGACATATAGCGTCACGTAAATCCACGAAAGGTGTCCATCGCTACGAACGAAAACGCACGGGTCTGTAACACATGGCACGAAGCCCAATTTTCGAAACACGTTTGAGATCGTCTTAAACCATGTTGCAGCAGGCTGTTTCAATCCATACAAACTTCTGTTGAGTTTCAAAACTTGACTCGGGTCCATGTCGACACCTTGAGGCGTAGATATGTACACATTTTTTTTCCAAAATGCCATTTGGGAAGGCTGTACCAACATCACATTGTCTTATGATCATGCCAAAATGGAAACACACGGCAAGAAGTACACGAACAGAGTTCCAGTTTGCGACCAGTGAATACGTCTCGTAGTAATCCACACCAAGCGTTTGTCAATATCCCAAAGCAACAAGCCGTGCCTTAAATCGATCAACTTCTCCATGTTTATTGCGCTTGATGGCAAAAACCTACTTGGTTCCAATAACCTTGTGACTTGGAATTTTCGTCACTGCAATCCATGACTTCTTCTGAAGGAGTGCGCTTGATTTCGGTTTGATCGCATCCTTTCACATACTGGCTTAAGGAGAACGAATCGCATCTTGAAATGTGAGTGGAGCCTCCAGCACCGAATTTGCTTGCTCATATTCGATGCGATATCGTTTTGGTGCTCGGTCTGCTTGATCATTAATACGTGCAGGTACGATAGCTTCATAATGACTTAGTGGTATTAAAGCTTAAGGATACGAACTGGGTGTCAACGCAGTCGCATCATTGTGTCCGCCATATCTAGATGGTACCATCTCCGAGAAATCGGTGATATGTGTTAATCCACCTCTAGGCGCAATGGCCTGCGTTGTATCCACAGCTATATCCACGTCAACCGGCTCCATGTTGACATCATTTATTTTAAAAGCGGGATCCGGACAGACAGCGATGTCAGGACACATACTTACAGAGTTAAATTTGCTAGGAGGTGATATTGGGCTCATAACCTAAAGAGGTTCGATAGCAGTGGAGAAAATTTGTAGTCAGAGGGTAAATTGGAAAGTATATTAGTCGTTAGAAAACTTGCACATGCATCCAGACAATCATCATATAAGCACAACGATGGTCTCGCCTGGGTCGTTTCCCTCTTCATATAATCGACTGCTGAGGTTTCACTTTCCGTGTCCGTTTCGAAACGATTATGATCAAACGACTTGATGGCGTTTGGGCGTACACAAAGTGCACATCATCAACAAGCGGATCCGGTGTGGAAGATTAGCTACAAGCCCTCCGGGCAGCTGTGAAAGCATCGGTTGCGCAAAAGCAGAAACAAGTGCTTGCATTACTGTACACCAATACTGACCACGAAGTAGTGATACGGCGACTGAGTGAACCAATCCGGTGACAACTGACCAATAAAAAGACTCAATACGTGTGGTTGCTTTGGCTTACTCGAGACCTTTGCCTTGTGGGGCGTTCATTCAGAGAAGGGCTGCCCTTTCAAAAACTGTCACTTCAACGACCTCTCTGCCGTATTCTGCAATCTAACCTTTCATCTACTCACCTGTTGCTAAGGGACATATAGTCGGGAGCTTATCAGCGCTTGCGCATAGGCAGAGAAATTGAGCAGCAGGACCGTTGGTTGTATCTGTAGCGGAGCTACACAGCTCCTTGTGTCAGAGGAAGACTTAACGCTATACGAGCAACTTAGTTTTAAAGAACTAACGACTTTACGAGTCAACAAGCTTTACAGCTTCAGATCTCTGTTCCAGGATACCTAACGATTCAGTGAATCGACAGCACTCAGTGCTCAAGAGTAGCTATCTCAAGGAGGTGTTGTTAACTCTTAGTGATCAGTGATCAACGATCAAGACGGCTCGCAAGGCACGTGTCCTTTAGATCAAAATGGGAACTGATTTTATTTAATGTTAAAACTTATAGAATATCTTAATCCTATTCAAAGATCTTTCGTACCTAATGGATGACACTTGTCAGCCCCTATAAACCGATAAGATATTCTCTATCACCTTCCTAGGGGTACCATCAGGTGTGTGACACACCTGATGGTACAAAGTACCATAATTTCGTGCGACCCCGTTACACCCTCCCCCACCAGAGTGACGTTATTAAAACGTCAATCGAACTTGTGTTCCTAAGCGAGAACAGTGCGCGTACGGTAAACCTCACGGCAACGTACGCTCTAGCACGATGTCCTTATCACCAAACGAATTGAACACTCTGTGTAACTACCTCGGAATAGAGGAGACAGTTGACTATGGTAGCGATACCAGTGTCCAGGGTAATACAGGTACAATGTCCGACTCATCGATGCCTGAGGCATAACCTTCGAATACCTTAAGTTCGTTCTCTGAACGTGGAGATGCAAGCGCGCCACTGGCGCAGCCTTCAACACCTGGTTCTGATGAAACTATCATCACGAACACTCTCGACGAGCAACAGCAATTGCTAGTCCAACAAGAAGAAAACGCTCAGCGTCATGCACAAATGGGTGCAACCCTTGAGTGCCAGCGTGACTATGTGTTCACTCTACCCTGTGTGGAGGAACGTCTACGTCAAGCGGCCGGCCGAACATTGGTGACGTGGATCATTGGTCATAGGCCTAAGGC